TGTGAATTATCCCTTTATTTTAAAGATTGAAGTTAATTGTACTTTTATTGCATTGTAATATTAAAATATCATTTTTAAATAAAAAATATTCCTCAAAATAAGATTCTAAAACTTCCAGTAGGTGGTAGTAATGTCTAATGAGTGAGATGATTGGTTCAAACAACTGAATCATTCAACAAAGAAGTAAAGCGCTGCCTGGACTAGACTGTTTAAAACATGGAGTCATTCAGAAAGTAGACAAACACAATATCTTTTGTGGCTTTTAAGGTAATGTTTTACACAATTTTCAGTACTTTTTTCATTTTTAAATACAAAAAAATAGTTTTACCTTATTTACAACATCCTCAACATTCTTAAATATCTGTGTGTCCATTAGCGTAAGATCTGAGTTTTAATTTAAGAACTATTATTGACCTAGATTACTATTACTTTAAGAGATTGTTACTAGCAATATACCCGATTACGGCTATTTAAAATGCAATTCGTTTTGATTAAACTAAATCTTTAGATCAGCCATAAAGTACCATGATAACCTATGTAATACACAAACATTTATAACATTAATATTATGTAAAATAGGGCATTTTTAATGTTTTAATACAATAAAATCAGAAGAGGTTGTTATTTCACGTTTAATTACTCAATATGGATCATTTAAAAACTGATTTGCATGGGGAAAATGCACTAGGTTAAAATCATGAATGTTTCTACACATAAAATATCTAGTTACAAGAGCATACACTGCAGTATCCATACTACAGGGAGCATTTTCCCCCGCCTAATCTTGCTCATGTGAATATTGCTGACTTGGACTTTCTAAAGTCGCATGCTTCTGTAATCCACAAGAGAGTGATATCAGAACCACATATGCAGAGTGTCTGAATACTGTAAAGGAAAGTAAACCAGACTGCAAGCACACATGAGCTTCACTGTATACTATTAAAGAAACTGACGGCCAACCTAGCTTATAGTGGGATTTTAAAGAACAGCTTGCCTTTATCACACAGCATGTTAAATGTCACATGACTGATTTGCATGGAGTGAGACTCACTCACATGATAATCACAGCATTTAGTTCACTGAAACCAGCTAATATCTTCAACTAATTTCAATTTCGTAGATTTAAGAAATGCAGTCAGTCCCTTTTTGTTTAAGATGATGGAGTCTACCATGTAAAGCAGATTACATAATAAACCCATTTGCCACATCAGATGCTAAATCTAACAAAGCAAGTGCTTTTCAACTTATTTTAAGAGTAAGCTTTAAAGTAGATTTTGTAGATTATTAAACCTGTATTTTTGTGATCATCCAAAATTAGTACGTTATTGGGCAACGGGATGACAAATATAATTGTTATTTTGGGATTTAAAAACTACTTTGATATATTATGATTTATTTATGACTTCATAGATATTAAGGGGTGTAAAATGTGCTGAAAGCTTACAGACAATGAGTGAAAATTCTTTAAAAGTCCAAGTGTCCAGAAACAAATGTGCTTAAAAAAAGGTGAACAAATAAAATAAAATAAAAATACAGCTTTAAATTGTATTTAAGAATTGTAAATGTAACCTATAAAATAATAAAATAAAAATAAGAGACGCTTGTTCCATTATAGGAGTCGTCATAGCCTAAAAAAAAAAAAAAAAAAATGAATAAAATATTTTGCAACAAACAACAAATTAGCTCAAGGGAAAACAACATAATGCAATGATCCAGGTTAGAGACATCAAATTGGCTTTGCAGTTCACAAATGTTGCCTTTATCAAATATCTCTGATGAAACTTATAATAAAATAAATGTGAATTTATTAGGGGCGAAGCAGTGGGGCAGTAGGTAGTGCTGTCGCCTCACAGCAAGAAGGTCGCTGGTTCGAACCTCGGCTCAGTTGGCGTTTTGTGTGGAGTTTGCATGTTCTCTCTGCATTCGCTTGGGTTTCCTCCGGGTGCTCCGGTTTCCCCCACAGTCCAAAGACATGCGGTACAGGTAAATTGGTTAGGCTAAATTGTTCATAGTGTATGAGTGTGTGTGAATGAGTGTTTGTGGATGTTTCCCAGGGATCGGTTGCAGCTGGAAGGGTATCTGCTGCGTAAAAACATGCTGGATAAGTTGGCGGTTCATTCCGCTGTGGTGACCCCGGATTAATAAAGGGACTAACCCGACAAGAAAATGAATGAATGAATAAATGAATATATTATTGGGCGACACGGTGGCGCAGTGGGTAGCATGTTCGCCTCACAGCAAGAAGGTCGCTGATTCGAGCCACAGCTGGGTCAGGTGGCGTTTCTGTGTGGAGTTTGCATGTTCTCCCTGCGTTCGTGTGGGTTTCCTCCGGGTGCTCTAGTTTCTCCTACAAGTCCAAAGACGTGTGATATAGGTAAATTCGGTAAGCTAAATTGTCCATATTTGTGTCAATGAGTGTGTATGGGTCTTTCCCATAGTTGGGTTGCGGCTAGAAGGGCATCTGCTGCCTAAAACATGTGCTGGATTAGTTGGCGGTTCATTTCGCTGTGTCAACCCTGAGTTAATAAAGGGACTAAGCTGAAAAGAAAATGAATGAATGAAAGAATAAATATGTTATAATACAATACATGCTGTAATTAAGTGAAATTAAGCAGTACTGGTTCTTCATGTTTGAGCAAAGAAGTCCAAACTAGCGCCCGCACACCAAAGTTGGCCCATGATAATCTTTGATTTAGTCCCCATCCCACAAGAGAAGAAAGTGAGAATGATGTTGAGGGTTGGGGCGATCACCTTTAAAAGAGATGGTCATTTCTTATTTAACAGAACTTTTTTATTTGTTTTATTTCTGATACAGAACTGAAACAGACAGAAAATAATTTTTTTTTTAATGCTGTAAATCAGAAATGCCCAAAGTAGAGCCCACGGACCAAAGTTGGCCCATAGCAACCTTTGATTTGGCCCACCATCCCATCTGAGAGGAGAATGATGGAGATGTTGGCAAATGCCTTTAACACAGAGATAGTTGTTTCTAATTTGACATAGTCCTTTTTTTATTATAATTTTATTGCTGAGCTACAAAAAAGCAAACTCAAATTAAATGTTTCAATTAAATGTTGTAAATAATTCAAATTGATTTAAATGTTAACGCTGTTGACTCATTTACAGTATAAAGGACTATGCAGGAGACATTGGCAAGCAAATCAGGGCTAATACTAGTGTAATTCCGTTATAAAGGAGATTGTTTTGTTTTTACTGTAATAAGTTCATCATAAATTTTAAAAACTACTGTATTAGTTTATATAAAGCAATGTTTTCTAATCATTTTTGAACATTATTAAATAAATTAGCACATTAGCCATGGCAACTATGTTTACCTTCGACTCACAAAACTCAATCAAATTTGGTTTTTTGGCCCTTCGTATAAAAAAGTCTGGGCACCCCTGCTGTAAATGAATCAGATTTTAAAAAATATAAATGCTGTCACTCAACACATAGAGTACAATGCTGTTATAAATTGGAGTTTTTTTATTGTAAAAAGTTCATTATAAAATGTAAAAACATACTGCATTAGTTAATATAAAACAATGCTTTCTAGTTATTTTTAAATATTAAATAAATTAGGAAATCACCAGTGGCAACTTTAATAAAGTTTGGCATATTTACCTTCAGCCCACCACCCTCAATCAAATTTGGTTTTTGGTCCATCATATGAAAAAGTTTGGGTCAATTATGTTCATTTACAATATTTATATCTTTCCACTCAAGTCAACCACCATCTCCATCCTGAGGCTGTCATAGGCTGCTATTGTCTGGGATGGATTTACTGAAGTCCGAATTCTAAACGAGTCTTTCTTTTGAATCGAATCTTTTTTAAAGATCTGCTCAGCTGGTTCACAAAGCCTGCATCAGCGATTCGTTTGTCGGCATGAATTGCTAAGGCATGTCACAAAAAAGTGTCCGGGCATGCCCAGTTCGCACTAAAAGCTTAAAATGAGCAAATCATAAGAACACATTCAAAGTGAACAGAGACGTTTATAGAGCAAAAGGTAAGATCTAAAAGATAAAAATGACGAAGTGTTAAAACAAAATATGCTGAAATTAAGTGTTTGACAATATTTATTGCTTTTTCTTCAACATAAATATGTTAATGTTATAATATGCTCCTCATATACAAGCAAGTTATGATTAACTTATATACTTTATTAGCAAACTTGGCTGTTAATGTTCTATACCTGTTCACTTGAAACTCAATTACGTTTACATTTAATTTGACCAGATAGCTGAATGGGCTATACATATGTTATTATTATTATTATTATTATTATTATTATTATTATTATTATATTATTTCCCTTTTACTACCCCACTAATAAAAAATGGGTTGCATTTTTTAACTTCTAATGTTAACACATCCCATGCATTTTTTTCCACACATCCCATAATTTCTAAAATATCAGCCTCTATTAAATGGTTGATAAGTAGGTTTATGGTAGAAGAACCAGAATTAATATATATACTATGAAAAATCTGAAAATATAAGTGTAAGAATAATTTATTTAAAAAAAAAACACAATCAAAATAAAACATTTTTGAACACTAAATCATCTTTTATTTTTTGCCAAAAGTATGCCATAAAACATTTATTTTTTAACAATAAAACCAAAATGAAGCATAGTATTGCTTAATAGTATTAAGCATAATATTTTTGTAAATCAACAATTGTGTGTTACCCATTATTTAAAACATCAATATCAACATATGGCCAACCATTTAGTAGAGCAAGCAGTTAAAAGCGTATTATTATTATTATTATTATTATTATTTTATTATTATTAATAATAATAATATTATGTTATTATTTAAATCATAATTGAAAACGAGCCCACATGTTTCATCATGTAAAATTTGGAACCGATTCTTTTAAAGCGACTGTTTAAAAGAACCGACTCACTAAATTGATTCGAACGTCCCACCATGAGCTGGAATTTGAGCAAGGAAGTGACGCTCGCTTCCAAAGTCATTCCCCATCCGCATCCGCCGGAACACAGAGCTTCGTGCAATTGGAGTTTCCCGATGTCAGTCAACAGCAGCTTTGCCACCACCTCTCCTGATTCTCGACTCCGCTGCTGCTGCACTTGGCGACCATATCGGCCGTCAGGGAAAGAAATGCCAACGGGATGAGGGGATCGTAGGCCATGTAAATACAAAGTATCAAATGTTTACGCCTTCATCGACAAACCGATGCGCAGTTTGCTTTTCGATTATCGCAGTTATGTTCCCGGTCGTCTCCCGTCCGTCTGTTTTATCTAGCGCCGTGTCTAGCCTCGGGAAAATGTACCCGACTATTCTTGATAGCCTTTTTTTCGCAAACAAAAGAAGACACCCGAAAAAACAATAAAAGAGCACGACAGAAGGATCGGTGAGTTTATCTCTCCGTGTGTTGTGAATGCGCATCGATTATTTTATGTTATCGCGCATGTTCGATGGCCTTTTAACTGTTTCTTTTTTTCCAGTCGGCCCCTTTTCTAAATGCCTGAAGCCGGTTGAAAGCAAGTAGAAATGCATAGAGCCTCTGTTTTTTATTCAGCACAACTGATCCACATGTAGTTCAGTAGTTGTTATATGAGGTTAAGTGTAGAAGCAATCATTAAGGTGTCCATAAAAATACAGTAATTTTTCCATGCCTGTGTTGAGGAGGATTGCACTTAGGCTGTAGCTGCACTGTTTTTGCAAAGGCCTACACTAATTATGACGAAAGTCTCATGCTTTTCACTAAATGCCCTTTTATTATTTGCTCAAACTTTACAATAAGAGTTTATTTGTATGTAGCTACTAACATGCAATTCCATGACAGGCTGTGAACTGAATTGGGAACAATAGAAATGGCTTGGCCGTGAAGTATATCATAAATTGTGAAACTTTACATTTTTATTATGTTTATTTTTTATTATTCAAATGGCCGGATTCTGAGACTGAGGAAAGTTGAATGTGCTGGCCAGTGTGTTATTTGCCTAATAAATGACAATAGGCCACAGTTTTAAATGTAAAGCAGATTGATATGTTTTCCCTCTAGTGATATATCATAAAGTAGCCTAAAAATAAGTAGCCTTTTTTCATATTTCTTTATCGTAATTCTTTAAATGTTTTGGTTTACCATAAACTAATCTAGCAAAAAAAATGTGCTTAAAATGTCACAACAGTGCAGTTTTTAAATCTCATAATTATTAGAAAATATGTAAAATAAATGCAAAAAGGTCCACTTTTTGAGGTATAAAGAACCACTCCTTTCACCAGGCTGACTACGGGTCTGTTAACAAAGACATCTTTGGATTTTAATAAAGCATTACTAAATGCTGAACTATGATTAATAAATGTTGTGCAAGTGTTGTTCATGCTAGTATGCATTAATCAAACATTATTGTAAAGTGCGCGCAGATTCTTTTTTTTTGAGCTAAGTTTTTATACATATTCAGTATGTCCAGATTTTTTTAAGGTGCAAGTCTGTGGCACTGCATGAACTGACATGTGAAACAATAGAAATGGTTGACCGTGGAGTATATTTTAAATTCAGCTCTTTTGTGTAGATTATTTTTAATAAGTTGTGTGCTCTAGGGCATTTAAAAAAATATACAAATACTTATCCTATAGGCAAAAATGAAGTGTCCCATTTTTGTGTCTGCATCTAATTACATTTACAATGGTGATTTAATAAGCATTTTGAATGCAGGTAAAGCGTCTACTGTATTGTTGTTATCGTTATTATTCTCTCAAATTACTTGTGAGAACAATGTCAAAATATTTGTAAAATAATGATTCATCACCATTCATTGCAATCTATATATACAGGTAAAAGTGAAACTACACACTTATTCTCACCTCTCACGTAATTAAAAATATAAAAGAATAAGTGGGCATAAAAATTATTCTATTTTAAATAATAAATATAAAAATAAATATTATATTTTGTAAAAGTATTTTGGTGACTAATAGGCAAAACTTAGTGTTTTGAAAAATGTTGGAAAAATCTAAAGTAAAAAATTATTTTAATTAGTATTCAATAATAATGAATATTAGTTCATTAGTATTTTGGGCTGCTCTTAGTCTTTTTGCATTTAGACTCAATTTTTTTTGCTATTCAGCACAACTAATCCACATGTAGGGCAGTAGTTGTTATATCTAGTAGTGTAGAAGGAATCATTAAGGTGTTTATAAGAATACCATGCCTGCATTGAGGAGGATTCCACTTAGGCTGTAGCTGCACTGTTATTGCATAGGCATACACTAATTATTATGAAAGTTTCATGCTTTTCACTATTTAATTCTATAATCTTTTATTATTTGCTTAAAATTTACAATAAGAGTTAATTTGTATGTTGTTACTAACATGCAAGTCCATAACATGCTGTGAACTGACGTGAGAAATGATAGAAATGGTTGACCGTGGAGTATTTTTGAAATTCAGCTCTTTTGTGTAGATCATTTTTAATCAGTTGTGTGTTCTAGGTCATTTAAAAAATATACATATACTTATCCTAGTGAAAAATAAAGTGTGCCATTTTGATGACTGCATCTAATTACATGTACAATTGTGATTTATATACATAATAAGCATTTTTAATGCAAGTGTCTATTGTTACAAGTTACTTGTGAGAACAAAATATTAAACTGTGTGAAATAATGCTTCATCACCATACATTGCAATCAATTCACCAGAATAGATGAAACTGAATTTTGAGCAGAGAGCTTGCTTTTATTCGTTGTATCAAGAAATAACCTTTGTTTAATGGCAGATTTTCTTTTTGGCAGATATTTATGGTGCAATTTATTTTCATTTCATTCTTGACTGTTGAATTGTAGCCTCACAGGTGCAAGAATATCTCTGGTTCGAGCCCCGGCTGGGTCAGTTGGCATTTCTGTGTGGAGTTTGCATGTTCTCCCCATGTTTGCGTGGGTTCCCTCACAGTCCAAAGACATGCGGTATAGGTGAATTGAATAAGCTAAATTGGCTGTAGTGTATGTGTGAAAAGTCCATAGTGGAAAGAAAATGAATGAATGAAAATGAACTATAATTGTTGTAAATCAAGTAATGACTAAATGATCCCCAAGTTAAAATAAGACAGTGAACACTAGAATATGCCTGAGATGAATGTGACAGTTGCAGGTCACTATGCCTGTGGAGGAACTACTCTGACTCAATCTATTAATAGAAACTATGAAATGTAACTTTCAGAGTTTTCCTGGTTTCTTTTCAGCATGCAAGAAAAAAAAGCACTGATCAGAATGTAATCCAGTTGCAAATATTACTCAATACAGATTTAATATGCCTATCTATATGTTGGGAGTTATGGGCCTTTGTTGCATAAGCTATACAGTGGCGTAACCTCGGTAGGCCCATAAAACCTCTGTCTTTATGGAGGTCTAGTTTTCAGAAGTATGTTTCTCAAAATGTGTGCTTTGTGGAGATTGTGCATGCCTGCTAATATTTTTATTTCTGCACACCTCCTGCCATACTGCAAAACATTTCAGGCTTATTCAGAACATGGATGAAATATTATCTGCGAGTTTGGGGTATCAGAGTGATTCTCTTGACCCGCAAGACAATTTAGTAAAGTGAGAGAGACTTCATGAACTCATGCTGACATATTTCCATGAACAGAGGTGAAGGTCTGCCCTGATATTTTAGTTGTCTTGAGTAGGGCTTAGACATTGCAACAGATGCTTCCTAGAAAGCTGCTTCACTGCATTAAGAGCACCAGAGGCACAGTCATAACTCATTTGTTAACGTTTAATTCAGTGGTTAATTTAAAATGATGATATGTCAAATAATTTATATTTGGCAAATTGATTTATAATTTATTGCAATGATGAATTGTTACTGTAAATTGATAATATACAGTTTTAGCACATGACGGAGGTCAATTCAGACTTTCTACCATTCAAAATCGACCCATAAAATGATTAGCAAATGCGATTTGACCAACATACTAAGAGCCGTGGAAAAAAATACAGTTTTGAAAATTATATTTGTTATATAAGATTTTTTGATAAATGTTGAAATTAACATGGTGTACAGTGCTCGCATACTTGAGTACACCTCATTTTAAAATGACTTTTTATCCTTTTCTCAATGAATTTAGGCAATGTATTTTGGTGAATTAAAAAAACGATTTAATAAACATAATTTTTTTGTATTTAATATTTTTCTGTAACATAAATTTGGTTGTACTAGTTTTTGGACTATTATCGTGAGTTATTTTGTTAGATAAGCTCCATATTTGGCTTCAGCACTGACTACTGACTAATGTAGATGCACAAATACAATATTGTACAGCTTCCTATTAAAATATTATTTTAAAAGATTGATTTGTGAGGGCCCTACTTCTGTATACTAAGCACTGCATGTTGAAATTAACATGGTGAAATGGTGCAGCTAAGTTGGGTCATGCTTTGCTTTTTAGTGACCTTTACAGTCTTACTTGCTATATAAGCAATGGTAAATTAAGTGTAACTACATGCAATTAACCCTAATCCAAGCCTATCCCTAACCCAAACTTTATAGTATGTGCTTATAATTAATTTTAATCAGTACTTAAATGCATAATTGTACGCCAACAAGAACACCTTAAACTAATATTAACAAACGAAACCTCATGGGAATATTTTCTTGCTTTTTATTGCTGATATTTATTTTTAAATTAATATAAACACATTTTACATTACTCTACAAAATCTTGGGGTTAGTGAAAATGTGTTGTAAAAACTTATATTCAAATGTACATTACCTTAAACAGTAACATTGTGAGAAATCATTACAACTTACAAAATGTTTAATATACTTTTAAGACAAAATGTTTTTCTTTGATGGCAAAGCTGAATTTAGTTTTTTGGTGCAGACCATTTTCAGGATTGTTCATTGAATAGAAAGTTTAAAAGAAGATAATTTATTTGAAATATAATTTCTGCAACCTATTGAAATACTTTTACGGTCACTTCTGATTAATTTAATGTATAATCGCTCTATTGTTTATAATAAAAACAAACGATCTAACTTGGAAAAAAAATTACATGCCTCAGCTTTAAATCATTAGTGTTATCCTTTAATCGAGTTTGATAATGAAACAAATGCAACATTTCCCAATTCGATAATGGCTATTTTAACCATAGTGATTAAAAAGACTGTTCTGAGTGAAACCAAGGAGCCAGTTTCTTCATGAATCTTCATGAATCTTATCTGTGTGCAAGGAAGTACAACCCACCCAGTCTGTCTGCCATCCAAACCCATGGATGTTATCATCAGCTCTCAGTAGGACCCATATTTCACTTTCCATAATATGGATGTTTTATGTAATGCTGTTTCTCTCATTGTCAGAGGGCATACTTCACATCTAGTGCTGTGCTGTCTTCAGTGACTGAAGGTGT